GCAGAGAAATAGAATTCGAAAATCAGAAAACTTCAAAATATTCAATTCAACATTGATCGAACATTCGATTTTAATTTTTTTAGAGGTAGATTTAGTGCAAATTTAGTTTAACAAAATAGTTTAAAAAATTAAAGTTGACTTTATGTAACCTCTAACTCTTACTTAGATATTTATAGAAGAATTATTAATAATGCATAATATGTCTTATAACTTCGTAAGAACTTTCTTATTCGTAACGCTCTTTCCTCGAAAGATACTTCACTGTATAAAAATATATATTTGCATAAAAATTCTCGATGACACTAGCGATTAGTTATGCTTAATTTAGCCTGGAATTCTCTATATCGTTAATTATTATCCATGTATTTTTTTTAACTTTCATACTTTGCTCTTCCTTCTGTTGCTTTTCGAGTTCTCTCCTTGGTTAATCAAATTCGAGTTTGATCACATTCGAAGCTCGTCATCGTATCAAGGATAAAAAGTCGAAAGATCAGGCAAACTTTCTTATTTCTTTAAAAAAAAGCTTAGATTATTGCTGTCAATAATATTTATAATAAATAATATGTGAATAAATACAAAATCAAATTGACAAAATGAATTATAAAAGAAGATGTTCACTTCAGTATTGTTTGGATTTCCATTTTTGGAATTTTGAAGGCGAGAGAAAATTTTCTTTCTTTCTTTCTTTCATTGTAAAACTGAATGAATGTTTTCTGTATTCTTTCTAACACTCGATTCTGTTTTCTAGGTAACATCCTTACGATCTGTTCTTTTATTTTCATAGCCTGAAAATTTCGCTTCCTGTCACGAGAAACTTCGTCCTCGTTCTTTTGAAAGACCGATCAAACTTAGGAACTTCTTTGTCTTTTACTTTCCATTCGATTCTTTTCTTTTTCGATGTTCAATCGATTGATTCCTGACAATCTTGGCAGAATAAATATAAAACGAGCAAGTATATTAAATTTCAGAAAAATTTCATATGCTATGTCTCTTCCAATAAAAAATGTGGATAAAAATTTTTGCTCCCAAAATTTCGATTTTGTATCAGGGAAATATAATCCGAGAGGAGGTGAAAATTGCGAATTTTTTTTTAGGAATTTCGAAAATATTTTCCCGAAAACCTCATTTAAATATTTGTAACATGAAAAAGCATGTCACGTTTATTCTCTACCCTGTCTGTGACATCAGCTCGACGACTGAGATTCTATGCATTATCAACATTCTTGCTGTATTAACGACCACTTTGCAAAAATTCTTTACAATATACGTAACCACGTTGGATATTATTCACCGAGAATTATGCGTGGGGAGGTGAAAAAACATCGTTTAATTTGCTTACATGGTTGGTCAGCATTCTAAAGCACCATAAATTTTTCACGTGTTCGCACTGCGATTCTATTATATTATACTATCACACATATACGAAGTACAAAATAAACCTAACATTCAATTTATTTTTTCATCTCTTATCTTGGAGGAATTAGAATTTTTTTACATTTTAGTGTCATTTTCAACGTTATAGATTCGGCTCAGAATGAGATTGCAATGTTAATGAACGTTGAAAGTGAAATTAAATGGAATATCTTGAAAACTTGTATAAAATACGTATTGCATTTTATATATGATTATATTTATATAAACTATTATGAAACAAGTAGTTGGAATAGTGAAACATTTTTGTAAAAAATATTTTTTTAATTACAAAAAAGTTAGGATTAAAAATAAACTTTTATTTTGATATTATTATTTTAAAATATTGTTACGCAAATTATTTATAATTTATTTGTGCATTTTATTAGATTTTTCACGTGTATTTATAATTTATTTTAGAATAAAAGTTCAATTAACATACCTTGTTTGTAATTACGCGCCAAGAACGAGTATAGACAAGGAGAAGAAATAGTGGAAGAAGGATAGAAATAATAAAAATTAGACAATCAGCGCCATCTTTAGAGTGCCGTAAATGAAACATATAGACAAGGAAAACAAATAATAGAAGAAAGATAGAGATAGTGTAAGAATTGGCTATCAACGCCATCTCTTGAATTTTTTGGAAGAAAAATGTTATTGACACTTAAAAGATGGCGTTAGTGTTCAATTTTTCTTAGTCTGGTTATTTATCTTACCTTGCTTTAAAAGAAATATAATCTTTATTCACGAATTTGCATCATAAAAATATATTGCATGATTGATCTTCTCTTATATCTAACATAGACTTATGCTAATAGGATAATTCTTACTTAATTTCTATTCTTTTCCCTATTATTTATTTTATCTATGTATATTTGTCTAAGATTTTCTAGATATATTTCTCTTATTATAAGAGATAAATATACAAAAGATAAATATCTTTAGAATTAAGAAAATTGTTAAAAAAACAATTTATAAAATTTATAAAATAACAACTGCAAATAAGTAAGTATGCAAATGATAAGTATTTCATAGATAAGTATATTTGTTCAAAGTTATTAACTTATACTCCTCGGTTGATCAAATGATTGATTTATACTACAAACGTGATTAAATAATATTCGATTATCTTTTGAATCCGAGATATTTGAACAAAAACAAACATTTTCAAAACATTTTTTTGCATCGATATTTATTAATTTAAAATAATTTAAAAGTTTTTCAATATGATATTGAATAAAACAATAAAAAATCCATAATCCAATATAATATAATGAATAATACATAGAATGTTAATCTATTCATGAATACATCTTCAAAGATCAATTCTAAAAATTAAAACAAATAAAATATTGATTGAAACTTATTTACCAAGTTATAATTGAAGTTGAGCATATTAGACGAAACGAGATAGAATGAGATAACTCTATCTTTGTCACACCTCTCTATCGCGCTTTATCTCCATCTCTTTTCATCTAACTAAAACTTAAATTACTTACAATTTAATAAATAAACCATTTTTATATACCAATTTTTATATTTATTTTGGTCTCCAAAGATATCTTATGAATATATTAACACTTTATACGCATTTTATACTTCAAATATTAATGTAACCATGTTAATGTAACCGAAGTAATTCAAGAAGTTTGTAAAAAAAAAAAAAAAAAAAATAAACTAAATTTTATCTTTAAACAAATTTGTATAATTATTTATATTAAAATTCTTTTTATTCGTTCAACTTTTTCCAAGATTAAATTCTGACTTAAGCTAGATGTGAAAGAAACTTGAAAGAATTTATTTTCTAAAAGTATAAAACTGAAGAATATACGATCAATTGTGAACTAAACAATTTACAACCTAAAAATTTGAATAAACAATCAATAAAGTAATTTTTTTTTATTTGATATACGAGGAGAAGAATCGAAAGTTTTATTTTTCGTTCCAAATAGAAAAACTTCCAAAGAAACTTGCAAGTAATAAACTTAATTCAAGTATCTATTTTATGATCTACCTAAAACTAAGACACAATACGATACCTTATGATGCCAATAAAGTTGTAGCTGCAGTCCAGTCTAGATGGACAAAACATCTAAAAGAAGTTTAACATAAATTTAAACTTTGTATGTACTAGTAAAGTTCAGTAGAAACTGACCTTAAAGTCACGTCTCTGCATAAAAGGTCAACCGTGCAATCATCCTATAGACGAAATTCGATGAAAATACTACCTTTAGAAATATCAAAAATAATTTTCTCGAATATTTCTTTAATATAATAATCAATAATATAGCAACATTTTTATACAATAATTTAATTTTAATTTTAATTTATTCCTAATTACAATCTTATCTTATACTGACTCGATAATGTTGAGAATGATACTGATTATAAAAATTAATCAAAAAAATTTTTTAAATTAATTTATTATTTATTTTTATTTATTGGTAAAATTTAATTGCTTGTACATAATGCAAAAAAAAAAGGGAAAAAATTCTTTTCTTAAATATATATGTATATGATTGTTTCGTTAAAATATACAATATAATTCTTTTAGAATGGAAATTTTTTAAACCTATCTTTTTGGTTTCAATACAACACGATCAATCTTTTTACATGGCCTAACAAACTTATAAAGAATATTATTCAATTAATGAGAAAATTTCTTAGATTTATAAAATATAAAAAAATCTATGAAATTCTATCATCAATTGAAGTATTTGTTAAACCAGATTCATATATTACGAATATTTCTATTTACTATTTTGATTGACATTTTTTTTTGTATCATAAGTTTGTTACAAATAACCGTGTTATAAGAAAGCTAATTGTATAAGAAAAATAAACAATTTTTTTATGAAGATGGTCTGATTTTGAGGGGACATAACTCGACCATTTGTGTAAGTAGGACAGCCTGCTTAAAGAAAGAGTGAGAAGATACAAATTTCGACTACAGCGCCACGTGGTTTGAAATCGAAGTGAATAGAAATCGCTGCAAATTCGAGCAAATTAGTCCTTATTGGAATTCGATAGCGATAAGTTTTCGTTAAACAGTTTAAAAATTATTGTATTTTTGTGATATCATAATGTTTCTGTCTTTTAATATTGTAGTGTTTCTAAAAATTTTTATAAAATTAATTTTGTTAAAATGTGGGATGTTTATTATTAACTTTTTTTTTTAACGAATAAATCATTTCTGTGATGATGAATTCTTTATATATGAAATACCCGCCATTTATTTCTTCTTGGATCGTCTCGATATCGGCATCAGATCCACGATTAATGTTTTATTTTTCCGCAAATTGGATTTTCCAATGAGAAAAAAAATTTCCACGAAGATTTGAATATCAATATTTATTTCAAAGTCAAATATTTTTTATCTAATAATGTGAATATCGAAATTCTGTAAAAAATTAATAAAATTTACTAAACTTTTACTCGCGTTATGCGATAAAAGCACAAGTAATTTAATATTGAACATAAAATGTGTTGGATATTAAAGTGACTATATCTACATGTAGGTTATGTGACATTTTATGTTCATATCTTGTTTTATGAAAATTTTAGTTAATAAAAAAGTAATTCTCTTGCAGGTTACTCGGCAGCAGCGCTGCTCGCGCTTCTTTTCTGTATCCCTTTTGACATGAGGGTTCTTATCCATAAAGAGACAGGCAGATGGAGCAGTTGGATACAAGCTTTCTATCACACTCACCTCGAGCTCTTCTTGGGGAATGGTTGTTTGGGTAAGATGATTTTTGAAATATTCTATTTCATTAATTAAATTTTTCAATTTTATTTTCTTCTTTCCATTTCCAATCATAGACAATAGAATACGTGAAGGATTCAAAAAGTTTTGCAGTTATCTGATAATACTAAATCTTACTTTGTACATATTTACATATGTGCTTCTGGATAGCACATCCTATGACTGTCAATGTTTCTTGATAATAAAAAGATAAAATACTTTTTACTTATGTACAACTAAATTCAAAGAAATATACCTCTTTTTAATGACAATAAATCAAATTCGACTTTACAAGGAAAAGTACTTATGATATTTTTTCATTCTTATAGTAGAATATGATAGTTTGATCTGATTTAACCTGTATAATGATATTTTATTAAATAAAGTTACACTTGTAACTTAATTATTTTGATTATTATATATATGTATATATATATGCATATTTGAAAGTAAATTTTTCAAGTGCATATAAATCACGAGCATTGAATATAAGATTAGAAATACACAGAGCTTCTACTACATCAAAAAAGAGAAAAAATTATTAAATATCAGTAAACTTCTAATGGAAGAATTATATTATACAAGAATATATATACAGAAAGGATACTTTTTCCAGGAGTTGGAGTTATGATGCTGCTAGCTTTGACAGTGGAACGTTACGTTAGCGTTTGTCGGCCTGGACAGCACACTCGTCCACTCTGTGGCCCTCCGCATTTAACCGTGGCGCTTATTCCCCTCGCCACGTTCCTAGTTTATCTGCCAAATGTGTTCCGGGAAGAAGTAGCGACTTGCCTCCCAGCGCTTGGTGAACCTATTATTTATCAGAAGAGGGAGAATCACTTCTATCTCGACTCGTTGTTTTATCAAGTAATCAAAACCAAATCAATGTTATTTCGAATTGAAAATCTTGGAGAAAGATGAGGCAGATTCATTTTTTGATTTATTACGTGTATAATTATATTACAATGATATAATATATATATTGAATGTATTAATTTGAACTCGATATAAATGAATCTATCACTCTTTCACGAGATCCTCAATTTCTTTCAGAATTTTAAAATTTTCGACTCTTTTTCTACGTAGGTGTACAAAGTGGTATTGGAAATCGTTTTCAAAGTAGCACCAACGATACTCTTGGCTGGTTTCAATTTTCGAATAATGGTAGTTTATCGACGATCCTGCGAACGTCGTCGACGGATGACACTGTCCAGGACGACGAGCAACGATGAAGATTCGAGAACGTTCGCGGAAGAAAAAAGGCTCGTGCTTCTTTTAGGGAGTACCAGTATCTTGTTCCTCGTCTGTGTTAGCCCTATGGTAATTCTGAATGTTACATTGAGGGAAAGCAATCTCAGCCACTATCCTTACCAGGTAATTGTCTCAAGTATCATTCTCCCCTTCTTAATTGAAATATTCTATCTAACATTTATTTAATTTTTCAAAATACTTATATTATACTCTTATGATTATTATTTTTTATTAAGACGCAAAATACGATTACGCAATAAAATTATAATATAAAATTAATCCACAAAATAAAATTGCTAGAAGAAACAAAATAAAATAGAATATCATTAATCACTTAATAATTATTGGAGCATCAACTCTTAAAACTTCTTCAGTTAAAGATAACAAATCTATTCATGATGCCTTCTAATCTATTCATTAAGAAACCGATTACTTTTATCTCGATCCCGTCTTACAGGTGTTTCGCGCTCTGGCCAATTTGTTAGAGGTAACGAATTATTCGATCACATTCTACATTTACTGCCTGTTCTCGGAAGATTTCCGAAACACCTTGATCCGCACTCTGCAGTGGCCTTGGAGGAAGAGCAACCAGGGAGGAAGAGGACTTCCGATGAAGCGTTCCTCCGTGGCCAAGCCGACAACCACCATTACCACCACCACCACCACCACACCACCGACCACCGCTGTTGCGACTCCTGGTCATTTAGCGCGCGCCAGCGTTTAAGTCCATTTTCCCCCTCCCCAATCGAGATCCTACGAAAATCCGCGAACATAACCGAATTCGGCCGATCGTAAATTTCGAATGCGGTACGTGTAATCTGATCCCAATTCACCGAACAGGGGAGAGTTGCATAATGCGTACCGATCTTCTAAATCGTATCTCTGCTTTTATGTGGCCGGATGTGGTGCCCTCTGGAGCACTCTGTATATATTAACTAGTGATACCAAATGTAAGAAGGAATTAGTCGATTAAATTAAATGATAATTATAATTTAATGGACACTTATTGAGGGGGGAAAGAAAGGTAAGACTGATGTGCAATTTTTATCGATTGTGTATAATGATTATTAACATTGTAAAATGCGGTTCATTATGATCTCCTTATAATCAATTTTTTTTTTTTTTTTTTTTTAGGTAAGTTAAGCTAAGTTGAATTAAGTTAGGTTTTCCTAAATCGTACTATTAGAAACGAAGATTTTAAAAAAAAAAAAAAATTGATTATAAGGGGCACATAATAAAACGCATTTTAAAATTTTAAAATGCGTTTTATTATGTGCCCCTTATAATCAATTTTTTTTTTTTTTTTTTTTTAGGTAAGTTAAGCTAAGTTGAATTAAGTTAGGTTTTCCTAAATCGTACTATTAGTAACGAAGATTATATAAAAGATATGATGGTTTCATAAAATTTGTATACCAAAGAAAAAAAAAAATAAGGAAACCAAAATCTATGCATGCTAAATGTAATGAAATAAATAAGTAAATAAATAAATGAGGTACGATTTAGGATACCAATTGCATAAATCGTACTTTTTGAATATTTTTAGAAAATATAGTATATCAAATAGATAAATTACCGCGAAATGATTAATTATATTATGAAAATAGATATTATTTTTCATTGTTCTCATTTAAAGAAAAATCTCTTGGCAATACTTTGTGAATTGATATTGATATTAGCAACTTTCCCCTGTCCTAAATTTTATAATGTGATATATCGGTTGAAATACTGTAAAATATTGAATATTGCAGAGTGATTTTGTTGCCAATGAATACCACGATGAATAGAATAATTCTATTGGCGACTAAATTCAACTGCTCGATAATTTCGTTTTTATACAAAGTGTCTCCGAAATTGATCAAGATTTAACTGATGGATTTTAGTAACTTGATTTTAGTAACTTTTTTCTTTGCGCTAATTTTTATCTCGGTTTTGTTAACGAGTTATTAATGAAAAATATTGGCTAATCACAGAGCGCGTACCGCGTTATAGTGATAGTGTTGGATATGTACTGTCAGCGAGTCGCCGAACTTGAACAAACAATTGAAACACGTGTCATTAATGAGTTGTAAGAATATTTTATAATATAGTTATTATCGTTCTTATTTTGATATACTCTTATATTTTCTAAAAATAGCACGTGTTTTGTAACTTTTTTTATCAGTACATGTATATTTACCGCTATTTGTTACAGAATTTGTTATGCAATCGTAATAAAAATAATTAAATACTTGAAAGTTAAAAAAAAAATATTTTATTAAATTAACACATAATTCGAAATACACGTCTGTTTATATAACTGCTCTTAATGAATTGAATCGAATAGTATAAATAAACGAAATCCTTTAATTGATATTAAATTATTTTGATCGTTAACCATTCGTTTTACATTTGATTTGAAGTTAACCTTTTATATTTAATTTCGTGAAATTCGTTCACGTATTTTTAATATAAAAATATTTCTATAAAAAATGCAAAAAGTGTTATTTCATCTCATTATTCTAGAGTTGTTTTAATAAAAGAAATACATTTTTTTATTTTCTATAAAAAATTCCAATTTTACTTTTTTTCACGCCACGATATTATTAACTCGTTAAACACGGTTAAATATCTTTCTTCATAATTGGATCGTATATCTGTAACGTTCACGAACATTGCAAACATTTATCACCGCATGGCAATGGCGATACTGCGTTTCAGTCCATTGACACGAATATTATGCCCTGCGCATTGGCAAATATTGCTACGTTTCACACGGTATGGAAACCGACCAACGACAATATTTGTCGGAATATTTCTTCGATCGATGCTTTATCATCAACGAGATTTCGCCGATTTCCACTGTGATGCAATTGTGCGACGAAAAATCGTAAACATGCCCCTACGGATGGTGTGTGGGCGGTTTTATAATTCGTCATGAGGGGGTGGCTTGGATTGGAACTGAGAGCGGGAGAGTTATTGCGTGGGTCGTGATCTGCCGGCTTCGATGACGCATGACGACCGATTCCAATTGGATCGTTCCATTCGATCCTATTTTTAAGACATTTCGCGAACATTTCTCTAACTCAGGGAAATTAAGACGAGATTTGTCATCCAAATGTTTTTTTTTTT